GCCCTCTACAGCTAAGATAGTGAACAACAGCTCCACCTGGAGCTGGGCTGCCGTGACTTGCCAGCGTCGGCATAGGCTGCAGTGGGCTGCTGTAAACTATCATGAGTGGCCGGCAGCCAGTGTGAGCTGCCATGAGCGGCTGTCCAATGGCCGGCGACCGATCTGCCTCAGCTGGGAAGAGCTCAATGATCACAAAACCACATGGGCCAGTGAAGCTGCGTCCTCCACAACTAGACTGAAGAACAAAAGGACAGCAACTTGTCTGTTCCCCTTTCCCGATTCCCCAATAAAATCTTTAAAAAAAAAAAAGAAAAGAAAAGAAAAGTTAGGACTACTTTAGGGTTTGGAGTAGAAATGAATGTATATATAGAGTGAGGAGTAAATTTGGGGTCAGGGGTGAAAAGTGGAACCTGAATGCCCAGGTATTGGAAGGAGTACCTAGATTATAATAAGAATGGCCAACATTTATTGGGTTTACTATTAACCACTGTGCTAAGCACTTTACTTAAATTATGCATCTAATCCATATGAATCATATGAGGAAACTGAGGCATGAGTAGGCTAACTTGTCCATCTTACATTTTATAAGTGGAGACAGTGAAATTCTCTGACAATAGAAAGCCTTCATAAAGAAAACAGGTTCTTCGTATGAAATGAAATATTTCCCTCGCCTATCACTGACTTGCAGCAGCCTGGGAAAAATGAGGTCACTTGTTTTGTTTTGCCCTATTAAATGTTTCTGCGTTTTAGTCATCTGTGTAAATCAGTAATTTTCAAATGGGGGCGGGGTTGTGCCCTGGGGACATTTAGCAATGTGTGGAGACATTTTTTATTTTCACAATTAGGGTGGTGCCACTAGTAGGTTGAAGCCAAAGATGCTGCTAAACATTGAATTATGTGGCCCAAAATGTCAGTCGTGCCAAGGTTGAGAAATCCTGGTTTAGAACTAAAATATGAAGCATGTAATCAGGACTGGAAAATATAAGGGAAATTCAGTCTAGTTTTGTCTTTTGGTTTGATTTTGGCTTCCATTTTTTCAGTACTTGGCTGTGATTCAAGCATATGCCAAGCACTTACATACATTAGCTCTAATTCTCACAGCAACAGGTGTGGTATCCTCATTTTCAAAGGGAAGGCAGCAGTTTAGAGGTGTTAACATGTTTAATCAAGGCACTTAACTAGAAAGCAGTGAAACCTAGATTTGTTTTGATTTCCAAAGTCTGTTCTTTTTGCATTAACACACTGCTTCAGGCCAGCCACGTGTCCATGCCACCCTTAACAATTCTTTAAAAAATTTTTTTCAGTTATATATACATTTATATTGTCCCAGAGAAACCAAGAGATGATTTATTCATATTAAACTTCTAAATGTATTTTATCATTGATTGAGCAGTAATTGACTTTTACAGTTGGCACCTGAAATTGTGAATATCAGTTCTTACCTGTTCTTTTACTGAATGCCAAAACTACTTATCAAAACAACCTATTTGGAACAGGAATGGGAAGCTTTCAGAAAACCTAAGGATGAAATCTAAGAGCCCAAGCAAGCCATGGAAATAACCTGTATTTTTTCCAATTTGAAGACAGTTTCTCCTCTATAGCCTGGTCCCTCCCTTGTAAACATCTGTTTATCAAAAGTCCCAACACCCTTAAACATCCATTCATAAGTTCAGTCTAGAAAATTGTGATCATTAAATTCCTTAAATGGTAGAGGAACTTCTGAAATTGCAGTACACAGAACTGGATTGTGTAGGTATGAATATGGACATACAACTCATAGGTATGGGTAAATTAAGAATAGTATGATATGATTTTTCTAATTTCCAAGTTGGTTTTTTTTTCGAATATCAATGTAACATATGTTCATTGTAAAAATATTCAGAAAAATGTAACTTAACAAGAAAACAAAAATGAACCATAATCTCATCATCCTAAATTAAAGTATTTCCTCCCCGCAGTGTCTGTTTGGGTAACTTTTTCTTTACATAAGACGTATACTGTGTTTTCCCGAAAATAAGACCTAACTGGAAAATAAGCCCTAGCATGATTTTTCAGGATGCTCGTAATATAAACCCTATCCCAAACAGAAGCCCCAGCCATGACTTTTGTACATGAATAAATGTAGATTGTTGGAGCAAAAATTAATATAAGACCCGGTCTTATTTTCGGGAAAACACGGTAGGTACCATTTTAAAATCTTGCTTTCCTAATTTAAGATTATGCCATAGGCTGCAGATGTCACGGTTGCATAGTATTTTTCTCTGTAGATGCACCATAGTTTTCTTCCAACATTCCTACAGGAATGGTGCTTTATGTTGTTTCCAGTGTTAGCAGTAATAAATAATGTCATAATGAATCTTTTTACATAAATCTTTGCCTTTCTGATTATTTCTTTAAGATAAGCTTTTGAAGGAGAATTACTTTGTGTCAATGTTTTAAAATTTCTCATGCTAAGAAACTGATTTCTGGAAAGGCAGGATAACCACTGGATATTCTTCTTCCCATCTTTGCTGTCTGATAGGGAATAAAGGGGTAGCTCACTATTTTATTATTATTATTAATTATTATTATTATTGATTACAAGTAAGAATGAATAATTTTCAATATGTTTAGAGTCATTTATCATCTTTCTGTGCCTTGAACGCACCAAGCGTATTTTTACCTTAGAGCTCATGGAATATCCTTGCCTGGAGTTTCAAGGCCCCAGATCTTCAAATGGGCTGGCTTCTACTTGTAATTTAAGTCTTAGCTCACATGTTCATTTTCTCTGATTTCCAATTTAACCACTTCTAGCTTTGAAGGTAGCTATTTCTCCAAGGAGAAATTTCTTTTAGCAAACATTGGTATTTAGAAACCAAGATCTGGGCAGTAAACATATCATTGTTTGTAGGCCCTCTTAATAAACAGAGCAGAAGTACTCACATGCTACATTATGTCCATTTCAATAGCTATCATTCATATATATATATGGTTTTTATAGTTATATATATATATATATTCATATATTCATATATATATATGGTATATATGGTTGTTGGAAAAGTTATGACATATTTTTTCTATGTTTTTCATTGCAAAACTGCGTCATGACTTTTCACACAACCCAGTATATATGTGTGTGTGTATATATGTGTGTGTGTGTGTGTGTGTGTGTGTGTGTGTNAGAGCTCGCACTCTTGAGCAAGCTCTTAACCAGCTGAGCCACTCGAATGGCCCCTGGATTTTTATCTGCGCATGTTCAGTCAGGGGTTAGCCAAAGATTTGAAGGAAGTCTAAATGCTTATTTGGGGGCTTTCTTTACTACAGTTTCCTCAATTTCTAGATGTTCCAGCTGTTTTGAGGCATGTTCCTCAGGGAAATAAGAGCGCAGGTTTTTGCTTTAATTCTAGTCAAGTAACAAAGCTAGACTGCAGAGTGCCTTCAGGCAAAAGGTTGTATAAATATGTATCCTACCCAACCTGTTGCTTTCTTTTAGCCTTTTGCCCTATTTGGTCACTCACCAGGGCCTCTAAACAGTTGATTTAGATGTGATATTGTAAAAAAGATGAGCCATTGAAAGGCTTTTAATGGGGGAGTCCCACAAAGAAAGATGAACATTAGCAGTTTGCAGAAGACAGAAAAGTAGACAAAATGATAACTAAGTTCGCTAACAGGCCATTGATTTTGTTTAGGCCTAAATGGCAAGGGTTTGCACAAGGCTATTAGAACATGAATACAGAGGGAGAAAGTGATACGAGAGGTAGAGTGACAGAATTTGGACATTAATTCGATAATTGGAAAATGTGAGGGACAGAGATTTACTCTGTTTCCTTAATAGTCTAGAATTTGCTGTATTCTAGTCAGTCAAAATGTATGAGATCCTGATCTGTGTAAAGAGCTGTGATAGGGTGTTGTGTGTGTTTATGTAGAGTTCTGTGTATTGTGACTGTTTTTGGATGGCATAACTTTTAGGTTACCCCTTTCTCTGTTTTCTCAAAAAATAGCAAGTGCTCATTAAAAGTTATGTTGCTTTTTGGGTCCTCAATAAATTCGTATTGACAGAAGATCTATTTTTTGCCATAAGAGACACTATGTGTAGTCATACTAGTATAGAATGATTTAAGTTGTATTTTAAGCACATCTTTTCTTCCAGGTTCTCTTACATTTTGGAAATGCATTTTAAATTTTTCTCACTTCTGCAAGGCCAGTTTTCAGAGTCCATATTTAATTTGAAAGCTACAGATGGAGAGCAGTTAACTATATCTGATTTTGAATATGTTTTCAGAAGACATTTTTAAAGACTTTCATTGTAGTGGTTCTCTACTGTCTTTAATCACTTAAGTTTTCCTAACCTTTTTATGATCAATACATGTAAAGGAATTTCTTTTGCTCTCTTTCTGTCCTAAATTCATATCTTTAAAGAATCTACTCTACTCATTCTATCCTGTCTTAATATTTATCAAAATTAATTTTCACATATTGATTCAAAATTCATTATTCACCTATCAGGAGCCTATTATCTCTTCAGCAAGAAATTCTTTGAAATCGTCCTATAATTTAACCTGTGTTCTCATTTAATTTTAGGTGACTGAGCTTGAATGTGTTAGTAGCCAAGCAAATGCAGTGCATACCCATAAGACAGAATTAAATCAGACAATACAAGAACTGGAAGAGACACTCAAAGTGAAAGAAGAGGTATTTGCTACTTTTCACTCATCTGTAATCTAGCTAAAATGTGTTTACAAATATTAGAGTGTATGACAGATTTAAAGGTATTTAATGGAATTAAATAAGGTTGTGGAGGGTTTTGTTGTGTTTTTTTTAGGATGGAATTTTTCTTGAGTGTTATTAAGCGTGTTCATATTTTCCCTATCTTTGTTTCTATTGTTATAAACTATGGCGAGGTAATCAGACTGAGATACTGCCTATTGCCTTCTGTATAAGAGTTTCATTTATATAATCAACAGAAAACTATTAGAAGGTATATGAATTTTACAAGCTACAGCTTTCTCTGGTTTCCAGTCAAAAGATTTAATGTCCCAGGGAAGAGTTATATCCACAAAACTTGAAGTAACCTTAAAATGTTCAGATTGTTGTTTCTAAACAGTGCTATGTCAAAACCACCAATTTAGTCTTGTTGCTTGTTTCTTAAGATGATTCTGTACTAGACAATATGCTTATAAAGATGAGTTCACCTTGCTAAAAGTCAGTATAAAGGAATGTTCTTTAAATGATTTTTTTAAGGACTAGGACAGTAATTTCAGGAGAAAATGCAGCCTTCTCTTTCCTTGATATCGCTTAAATGTTGTTAAAGACATTTCTCTACTTTTTCTAGGAAATAGAAAGATTAAAACAAGAAATAGATAATGCCAGAGAACTACAAGAACAGAGGGACTCTTTGACTCAGAAACTACAGGTGAGCCAGAAAACTTTTTTATTCATTTCTGCATAGAGAGGCATCAGTCATTCATTCACATAGTAATGATGTTTTTTCTGAAACTCTGTTTTGTAGGTTCTTGGTCATTTTTCTTTTCCAGGGCTTCTGATTCATGCCTAATCTTTGATTTTTCAAAAATAAGTTNCATATCTAAGAAATCTGTACCTAACCAAATGCCGCAAAGATTTTCTCATATGGTTTTTTCTAGAAGTTTTATAGTTTCATATTTTGAGTTAATTTTTATATAGGATATTAGATATGAGTCAATATTCTCTTTTTCTTCTTCCTCTTCTTTTTTTTTTCCAGCACCATTTGTTTAAAAAGACTATTCTTTCTCCTTTGAATTGCCTTGGACCTTTTATAATAATCATTATTTTAATAATTTCCAGATATTTTCATATCATCTACCTTTCTATCTGATATCATATTCTTTCACCTTAATAACTTCCTTTAATATTTTTTATAGTATGTGTCTACTGGTAATAAATACCCTCAGCTTTTGTTTGTCTGAAAAACCATTTTACCCTTATTTAGAGAGGCGTTTTCATTGAATGTAGAATTCCAGGTTGAGAATTGTTTTCTTTCAGCACTGTCATTCCACTGTCTGCTGGATAGCTTAGTTTGTGATGAGAAACTTGTAATTGTTACCTTTATTCCCCTATATATCATATGTTTTTGAGCTTTTTGGCTCTGTGGTTTCTTGTGTTTTATTAGTTTTTGAAAATTCTCAGTCATTAGCTCTTCAAATGTTTCTTCTGCTCTCATCTCTCTTCTCCTGGGACTCCAGTTACACATTTGTTAGACTGATATTGCTGCCTCATGTCTTGGATACCCTGTTTCTTTTTTCTCTTTGTGTTTCCATATGGCTAATTTCAGTTGGCCTGGTTTCAAATTCATTGACTTTTATTTATGTAGCTATGTCAAGTTTACTGATGAGTTTGTCAAAAGCATTTTTCATCTCTGTTATCATGTTATTTATTTCTAGCATTTCCATTTGACTCTTACAGTTTCCATCTTTGCTGAAATTTACTATCTGATGATGTATGTGTCCTTCTTTTCCATTTAAGCCTTTAACATAGCTAATTTTACATTCTTTGTTTGAGATACCTGACATCAGGGTCTTCTCTGAGTACAACTATCAGTTGCTTTCTCTCTTGACAGGTTTATTCCCCCCTGATTTTTGTTATGTATTGTAATTTTTTATTGAATGTGAAAGGTAAGGCATTAAATAATAGTAAATAGTATTTACTCCTGGAAATGGGCCAGATTTTTCTGCTACGCTGTTAGTATGGGGGTTAAGCCAGTCTACTAAGGCGTGGAACTGGATTTGGAATTTGTCGTTGCTATTGTTACCATGAGTATATTACAGGCTTTAAACAACTCTAGCATTACCTTTTTCTTGAAATTGGGGTTGGGTTGCTAGAGGGTTTACTCATTGTTTGTGCTCTACCATCAGCTTTTGGCCTTTCTCTGTACCTTTGCCTTAGAGGGGGTCTGTCTCTACACTCTTGCGCTTCTGCCAGTAGAAGGCTGATATCAGCTTAGTGGTAGGGGATAGGGGATGGTTTTCTGTTGTCCTTGGCTACCCTCAACCTTGGGCAGGCCCTGTATCCCAGAGTCTCAGAGATGGGGCGCTCTCAGTGATCCTGTTCCTCTCCCAGTAGCAGGTAAATTCAGCCTTGTATAATTGAGCGTCTTGTGCTGGAGTTTCCTGCTCCAGTCCTCAGAGTTAGAGACCTCTAATAGTCTGAGACTAGGACTGTGTTTTCTATTCCTCCCACAAGGTTATAGAGTTTTATTCTCCTACTTTTCCTGCACCCAAAATGGGTCTTCTTCTGGGAGGATGGAAGGTGGGGGTGACAAGATTCACTGCCCATCTCGCAGTAGTATAAAGCTTTTTTTCCATAGAGAAGAAGGATACTGGCCATGCTTTGTGGCTATTCTACAGTGGTAGACTCTCTTCTCATCCAGGGATCTCTGAAGCTTCCATCCCTGTAGAGTTTGAGGCCCCATGGCATGTGGATGCATTCTGGTTCACCAGCCTGGAAGCTCTCCAGATCCCATCTTTTGGGTTTTTATGGAGGCTTCATTACATAGACATGATTGATTAAATCATTGGCCATTGGTGATTGATTCAACCTCCAGGCCCTCCCCAGAAATCAGGGTGTGGCACTGAAAGTTTCAATGCTCTAGTCATAGTTGGTTGCTGTGGTAACAAGCTCCCCATTTTGGGAGGATTTCCAAAAGTCACTTTATTAACATAAACTCAGTAGTAGTTGACAGGGGCTTGTTATGAATAACAAGACACACATTTTACCTTTATAGCTTTGAGTCCGTTTCTGGGAAGTAAGGACAACAGACCAAATACTACCACGAAAGATGCTCCCATTGCTTTTTGTGCTTAGGAGATTTTAAGGTTTTAGGGAGCTGTAAGCCAAGAACCATGGAGAAAGACCAAAATAAGTATTTATTANGTCTATAACTTTAATACCTGTGTTTTCTTCTATGCAGTTTATTGTTTCAGGTCTTATAGATAGGTCTTTGATCCATCTGAGTTAATTTTGGTATGTGGTGACTGACAGCAGTTTAGTTTCATTCTTTTGCACGGGACTTTCCAATTTTCCCAGCTCCATTTATTGAAGAGGTTTTCTTTTTTCCATTGCATTTTTTTGGCTCTTTTGTCCCAAATTATCTGCATATATATATATATATATATATATATATATATATATACACACACACACACATACATATATGTATATATGTATATATATATATATATATATATATATATATATGTGATTTTATTTCTGGGTTCTCAATTCTGTCGCCTTTGTCTGTGTGTCTGTTTTTCTGCCAATTTCATGCTGTTTCGATTATTGTCACTTGGTATTATAATTTTGAAGTTAGGGAATGTGATACCTCCGACCTTGTTCTTTTTTTCTCAGGATTCCTTTGGCTCCTTAGGGTCTTTTGTGATTCCATACAAATCTGATTACTTTTTATTCTGTTTCTTTAAAAAATGCCATTGGGATTTTGATGGGGATTGCATTAAATCTGTTGCTTTGGGTAATGTGGCCATTTTAACTGTTGATTCTTCTAATCCATGAACACGGAATATCTTCCCATTTTTTTGTGTCTTCTTCAATTTCTTTTAAGAATGTCTTTTAGTTTTTAATGTAGAGGTCCTTCACATCCTTTGTTAAGTTTATTCCTATGTATTTTATTCTTTTTTGTTGCAATTACAAAAGGAATTATTTTTTTCATTGTTTTTTCTGAAATTTCATTGTTACTATATAGGAAGGCAATGGATTTTTTGTACATTGATTTTGTACCCTGCAACTTAACTGTATTTGGTTATTGTTTATAATAATTTTTTTGGTGGAGTCTGTAGGGTTTTGTATATAAAGAATCATGTTATCTACGTAAAGTAATAATTTGACTTCTTCATTCCCAACTTGGATTCCTTTTATTTCTTTCTCTTGCCTAATTGGCAAGAGTTTCCAATTCTGTGTTGAATAACATTGGTGAGAGGGGGCATCCTAGTCTTGTTCCTGATCTTAGAAGAAAAGCTTTCAGTTTTTTACCATTTAAGTATATTAGCTGAGGGTTGTCGTATATGGCCTTTATTATGTTCAAGTACTTTCCTTCTATACCCATTGTATTGTGTTTAACCATAAA